GCAACCCTCTGCCAGTGAAAACAGGCTCCTGAGCATCGTTTTCGGCTGTGACAACCTCCTGCAACCCTCTGCCAGTGAAAACAGGCTCCTGAGCATCGTTTTCGGCTGTGACAACCTCCTGCAACCCTCTGCCAGTGAAAACAGCGCAGGAGGATCGAACGTGGCCCTCCTGAGCTCCGTTTTCGCTGGCAGACACACCGTGTTCCGGTACTTTGCGTTTTCCAGGGTGACCCTGCAGGCCAGAGCTAAGCACTCCGCGGGCTGGATCCGGCCCCTTGGCCTTGAGTTTGACATCCCTATCCTAAACTGTCAGATTAATTCTCAGGTGCGTAGCATTATTTCTTAATTATACAGTTCTATTTTTCAGACACCATACAAATCCTGTTGGCACAGAGTGGCGATGGAAGATGGACCGGCCAGAGATGATCTTGCAGGAGGCCATTGAGAACCATCAGAATTTGATCAAGCAGTTTAAAGGTAGGTGAGGAACATACTGTATATGTATGATCTTTTTAAAAAGACATTGAATCGTGAATATAGAAATCTCTCAACACTTGAGGGAAGAGAGCCTCTTTTAAGAATGCTTCCGTTATGTCACAGCTTCCAAGTTTTTCATCCTAGGTATATATGATTAAATTGGACCCTAAGCTGTTTTATTTCTGGAAATTATAGTTGCCACACATCTGGAGAATATAATAGCAGCCCATTTGGAGGACATCAGACAGAAAGATACTGTAATAAGAAGAAACATAAGCTTTTGCTGTTCTTCTTTAGTCAAAAGAATCTTGAATGAATGTTAGTTGGGTTAAGAAGATTTGTTTACGGAAGCTGTTCTGGAAAGAGGAGAAACATTGCTTTAGACTGCCCGGAATTTCCATTGCATATCATGAGGGTTGTAAGTCAAGGTACCCATACGACTGATCCAATTTTACAATGTTTTGCAGCAGTGTAAAGCGAGGGCCATGAACATTAAGCAAACATTGTACCCATTTAACAAACCCATTGCTCTCAATGGGCGGTCTTTTAGGAAACCAGAAGTAGAAACCAATTTCTATAAAAAAATTGTAAATCATGGTGATATGACTGGCCCTGAATTGATCCTCTCTGCTGCAAACTATTCTCACCAGCCTGGTTGGAAATGACTTCATTCTGTTTTTAGGAGTCCCCGGCGTGAGAGATGACCGCTTCAGAGAAGGGATGGAGGCCAAGCATTGTGCACTGTCTCTTGTTGGGGAGCCAATCATGTATCCCCAGATCAACCAGTTCCTGAAGCTGCTGCACCATCGCAACATTTCAAGTTTTTTGGTTACAAATGCACAGTTTCCAGAGGAAATTAGGTGATAATCCTAAAATGTTGTACCTCTTCCTTCCCATTTGTTGGTGCTGCAAACAGATGGGATAGCCATTTTTCTGAAATCATATCAGGTTTCCTGCCTGAGGAGGGGGTTGGACTAGAACAGACCTCCAAGGTCCCTTCCAACTCTGTTATTCTGTTACTTCAGCCTACAATTGGGATAATGTGCTGAGGGATTCATTGTGAAAAGTAGGCAGGCCAGAAGTACAGTAATGGCTGTAGCTTGGACAATAATTGACTTTGAGTGAACTTGAAATTAAATCAATTCAATACAGTTGATATGATTATTTCCTTAATTAATAATTTCACCCATCTGTCTCTCTGAAAATTGATAGTCATGTTTGGAGAGACTGAGGAGCGCAATAGGGATTTTGGAAAGTACACACGGACTCAAGATTTATGTGTTTAATTTAGTCTCTATCATGCTAGATGNTAGTTTGAGGCCCCTTGATTTAGTGCAGCGGTTCTCAACCTGTGGGTCGCTACCCCTTTCGGGGTCGAACGACCCTTTCACAGGTGTCACCTAAGACCATCCACATCCACTGGTGTCGCCCATGCTCAGGAGCACGTCCTGAAGCGGCAGGTGCATGAAGAGCGCTGGGTGGCGAAGCAGCCAGCTCCGGGCGCAATCCAGACGCCGCTCGCCCAGTCTCCATGCCAGGGAAAGGCCGAGGGGCTTAGGTGGAGAGAGACGGGTTCTTCTGGGTGGCAGATCAGCCTTGGCTCCAACAGACTTCCGAAGCAAGCGCGGTCGGCGGTGGCGCTTCAGCTCAGCCACCTGCACAGGAGCTTAAAGGCGGCCGGAGAGCCTGAGACCGGCGGGGCAGCCAGGCCACCCACTTCAGCCGGCGGGATGGGCTCTCGCCCAGGCAGGCGCATCCTGGGATTCAAGCTGCCTTGGGCCTGGACGCTGCCTTTGCCGTCCCCACCGCTGGTCCTGTCCTGCAGGCTAAGCTGAGCTCGGAGGCTTTTTTGGCCCCCGGGAAAGGCTGGCAGGGGAGGCCGGAGGGGAGGACAGGCCCCGCCCATCCAATCCTTCCGTCCTGAAGAATTCCACTCAGGACGGAAGCATAGCTTCATGTATCTTAAGCCTCTGTTTAAAATACAATTTAAAGGGCAACTTTTTAATCTGTGTTAAATAGATTGCTCGCACAAATTAACCGCTACGCACTCCCATGCCTGGTTGTAACGATTCTGAGAAAGAAAGAAAGAAAGAAAGAAGAAAGAAAGAAAGAAAGAAAGAAAGAAAGAAAGAAAAGGGAGGGAGGGAGGAATGGAAGGAAAAAGAAAAAGAAAGAAAGAAAGAAAAGGGAGGGAGGGGGGAATGGAAGGAAAGAAAGAAAAAGAAAGAAAAAGAGGGAGGGAGGAATGGAAGGGAAAAAAGAAAAAAGAAAGAAAACTGGGTGGGTGGGTTGGGGGAATGTAATGTAAAAAAGTAAACTTAATAAAGCGAAACTCATGTAAACCATGAACTGCTGCTGGAGGAGGCAGGGAGGTCGTTTTATCCTGGAAAATCCCAGCCTGGTTGATCTTCTCCCAAACCAAGATTGGCAGATTAATGACTATGCTTTAATTATGTTCAATTTNGGGAAAAGGGCGGCATACAAATGAAATAAAACTCAAACTCAAACCTTTATTCTATGTTCTATGCTCTTCGTAGAAATCGTTTCATCTCTTGAAGTTGCCTCCATCATGGTGAGTGTTTCTATCATTATACTGAGCTCTGACCTCTAACAGTAGCTTGAAGCATTTCATTACACGTATGTCTTAAAAGACATACCAGCTTAGCTCACACTTTCAATATTCAACTCTGCAACCCTGCTTAGAACTGCACTATAAGAAAAATGCTGCTTACAATATGACTGGGGGGAAAGGTAGAGGAATTGAGATTGGGGCAACAGTGGGCAGTTAAATCTCTCTTAAACTATTGACACATATATCACAGAGAAAGCCGCTAGCTTGGGGCAATTGTTATCTACTTAGCAACCTGCTGTGATTAGGGGGGAGGGAGGAAAAAAATCAAACCAAGGCCAAAAGTTACTTAACACTTGAATCTTTGGGGGTTGAAAATGGAGGGAAACAAAATGTTTGGAAATGCTGGCTTTTGAAGAAAGACTGAAACCCTGGTCTCTTAGGAAGAAGGAGCCTTTCAGAAATAATTTCACACATCCCTGTCATCCAGAGACCACAGATTGTTTGCAGTATGCTGGCTAATGAATAAATTTCGCTGCCTTTCGGCATCTCGGAAGGGAAATCTGAAAGGGCTGTGAAGACAAAAGGAGTGTGCCAAAGTGTATACATTGATCACGGGCCTTCCTGGAGGTGGCCTTTCATAAAGACAAATGCTGGTGAGCCAACAATATAACCACAGGAGCTGAGACGCCATGAAAAAGGCATTAACCTTTTCTCTGCTGGAATTCCTACAAGCATCAAATGGGTGTTTCGCCGTAATCGATGGTGTTTTGAACATCTGACAGGTACACCTGGAGCCCATCCGCCAGACGTCCCTGGAAGGTGTGAAGTGGGTTGAGCTTCTGCGGTACATGCATCTGGATAGGAAATTGGTGATGCGTTGAAAAAGACTCGAAGGGAGACAAATGTTTTTACGGCATAGACATTTGCTAAAGGTCAGCGCATGGTTTTTCAAATACCACTGCACATTTATGCATCGGTATGCGCTTTTAAGTTGGGTCTTCCAATTCTTCATATTTCCAAAAGTGGAAATTTGTAGTTATTTGTTTGCTTTTTGGAGAGAGTCAATGCAAGCAATCACTTTGGCTCTTGATAGTCTAAAGTGCATACCAGAGGAGGGTATTCAGCAGGTTCGGACCAGTTCTGGAGAACCGGTAGCAGAAATTTTGAGTAGTTGAGGAGAACCAGTAAATACCACCTCTGGCTGGCCACGCCCCCAACTATTCTCTGCCTCCCGAGTCCCAGCTGATCGGGAGGAAATGGGGATTTTGCAGTATCCGTCCCCTGCCACACCCACCAAGCCACGCCCGCAGAACTGGTAGTAAAATATGTTGAATCCCACTGCTAATCTTTAGGTTCTCCGAATGATCTTGGAGCATGACCTTGAATGTCTAAACAGGCATGCTTTTCTCTTCCTATTTGACTTTCAACTCTTATTTCTTCACGAAGAATCCTTTGGAAGCTCAAAATCCAGTTGACTGAATACATTTGCATCCATGTGATTTTTTTGGATTCACACACACACCCCCCTCTTTGTTTCAATAGCCTAACAAATCTATAATTAAAGATTCTCAAAGCGAGGCTGTCAGCAAAAGAAAGAGCTGTCAGAAATATATTATCTAAGCAATCCTTAGAGCAGCTTTAATAGCCAGCATATTTTCAGCTTTATTATCCTCTAGGGCAGTGGTTCCCCAAACTTGGCAACTTTAAGGCTTGTGGACTTCAACTCCCAGAATTCTCCAGCCACCTCGGCTCAGAAAAAATTAAGAACTTGACTGTGTAATTTCCAGGAGTCAAGGCTGACTCAGAGGCAAAATTTGGACATCTCACAGCCATCTCAACTTGGTCAGCTAGAAAAGAAAAACTTTTGAATCCTTTGTTAACCAACATACACTTTATTAAAGCCAAGTGGTTACAAAGAAGCAAAGCCGAATCTGGTTAACTTTTCCCGTCTCCCCTGATTCCCTTAAAGTATCCAATTACATTCAGACAAATTGCTTTGGGAACAATCCCTGGCTTGGCAGGCCTGATGGTTTCACATGCTATTCCATGACCTTGGAACAGCCAATGGCTCCCGTGGGATGGCACAAAGAGTAGTTCCAGTTCTCCTCATCCGAACCTCCCTCTCCCGTGGACTATGGCAGATTGGCGTCTGGTGAAGCATGACTGGTGCAGCAGAATGAGCTGGCACAAAAAGTCTCTCCCTAAGGAAAATGGGTGTTTTCAAAAGTTTATAGAATGAATGAATGAATGAATGAAGGAAGGAAGGAAGGAAGGAAGGAAGGAGGGAGGGAGGGAGAAAAGGAGGGAAGCAGGGCAGGAGGGAGGAAAGGAAGGAGGGAGGGAAGCAAGGAGGGAGGGAGGCAGAGGTGGGTTCCTACCAGTTCGCACCTATTCGGTAGAACCGGTTCATCAAATCTACCGAACCGGTTAGAAGAGATTCCACCAGTGGACCCGGAAAGCAGGCCACACCTACAGAAGAGGTTCCAAAATTTTTTGAAACCCACCACTGCTAAAGGGTTAGGG